GCCTTCCTTCACCCTGCTTGGAGTCCTGGAAAGCTCATTTGTGTGAGCTGGCGGTTCAAAGCCACCAGCCACTCCTCGGAAGGAAGATGGGGCAATCTACTTCCATAGTGATACTGCCTCGGCAACCCAAGGAGGGGCCGCTATGAGTCAGGGCTGACGCGATGGCACAGAACAACAACAACAACAACAACATCCCACTGGAATCAATGGATTCTTTGACTTTAGAGCTCTGGTTTGGCCAATGGGAAGCATGGGGAGGAGATTACTGGGAGGAAGGAAAGTGAAGTGGAATATTTAAAGCCTTGATTCCCTTCCTGCCAGGACTGGTTACTTCCATCTCTCTATTAAATGTCACAGCTCCTGTCCAGTAGGTCTCCCCACCAAACCTGTTGTGGGCATGGTTTTCCATAATAGTTCATTCTTTTTGTTACTAGGTCCAGGTTCTGCACGATCCCTGCCCACATCTTTGTAAATAGTCCCTTTATTAATCTCTTCCCAAATTACCTACCTTGAATGTGCCATCTGTTCCTGCCAGGACCCTAACTAACACACTTACCATAAAGTCTACTGTAACCAAATGATTCTTTCCCTTCCCCATTACAAAATTATTGAGGGGAAGCAGTTCTTCATTCAACTATTTTTTCCACCTTTACCATAACCGAGCGATCTTCACCTGTAAATGGCAGAAGCGGGATGGGAGCCGGTGTCATAGCTGGCACGAACACGTCCCCGGTACAGCTCTACTGCTATGTGGTCTTTGTCACCCTTATACAGGAGGATTCCACTGTCCTCATCTGTGGCAATCTAGTAGGAAGCAAGCGTGGCACTATTAGGATGTGCAGTCAACCAAACAACGTTCAGCAAAATGCAAGAGCAGACTGTTAAGATTTGTTTCTGTGGTTTACTATCTCCTTGTGGGTACGAAAAAAAAAAAAAAAAAAAACGCATGGTGAAATTATTACTGGAAAGATGATTGGTTCCTATGTCACTCCCTTGCAAATAAATCCATAAAGAAATTGAAAAAGAACACAGATTCTTAAGTAAGAGCATTGGATGTGCTTTGAACTTTCTGTGCTGGAGAGTTTTACTTACCTGATCATTTTGCTCCTATTATAGATTTTATGTTATGTATGAAATGTATATAACAGCAATGTAAAACTATTGATTTTTCATATTCCATTAGACAACAAACATTCTTTATAGTTATGCAATGCATGAGGTGGGGGAGGATCTCTGTTTTTACCTGCTCTTAGGACTTTTTGGGTCTCTGAAGGAGTAGTTAAGTAGAAATTGGGACTCTAGTCACTATTCATGTCTCAAGTCAATGAAAATGTCATTTCATTGGAAAATGTCGAGAGGCAGGGAGACAGACTCCTTAGAGAAGGGCTGCCACCTCCATGGTCCCATTCATCATGATATCGAAAGAACCCTTTCCGCCTTACTTGAGTGTCAGTGTAAACCAAATGAGAAGAATTGGGGTCTACAGGAAACTAGATAAAGTCATTTCATTCAAAATCTTTTAAAAATATTCTGCTAACCAAAGAAAATAAGCATATAGGCCCAATTTGTCCCATAGACTCTAGAGTTATTACCTTTAACCTAGTCTAGGTGTCCCTGGGTGGGGCAAAATGCTTAATGAGGTTGTCTACTAACCAAAAGGTTGGCAGTTCAAGTCACCCAAGAGGTGCTTTGGAAGGAAGCTTTTTTGGCAATCTACTTCCAAAAACTCAGCCACTGAAACCCTGTGGCGTACAGTTTTCCTCTGACACATATGGGGTTGCCATGACTCAGAAATGAAGCAATTCAAATCTAGTCTAACTTTTCACAGAGACTAGAGTGAATTCCTCAAATGTACACAGTAAATTGGTAGGAAAATTAAGCATGTCTTGGTTAATTCCATGTTGATTCTTAAAGGTTCCAGGTGAAGCACTACAATGTACTGGTTGAGTATCATGCCGAAATGCACTGGCACACCTGTCAGTGTTCCTCCTGCCCTCTGCTTAGCTGCACATTTCTTAAGTAAAGCCTCCCTGTGCCAAACCTGATCTACAGAGAAATATAACAGTAAGTAACTAAAATGTCTAGGCTGATGAGTCCACTCTGATGCATGGTGACCCCATGTCGGTCAAAGCGGAGGTGCACTCTATAGAGTTTTCAAGGTGATAACCTTGTGGAACCAGATTGTCAGGCCTTTCTTTGCAGGCACCTCTGGATGGATTTGAACTGTCAATCTTGTGGCTGGTAGTTGAGTGATGCTCCTCTGGTGGTGTTGTTGTGGTTTTCATGGGACCAATAAGTAACTAAAGTGTCTGGTCCCCATTTAGTTTTGAAAATAGAAATGCTGAAGGAAAGAAATGACTGAAGCTTTTCACTCAAGGAGCATCTTCTATCATTGCATCCTGCATCCTTTCATGTTCTATGAAAAAAACATCCCTCCTAAGCTACCATGGCTATTTGGTCTTTGAAGCTGAATTTGGCTTAGGATCAGATCAACCCTTGCTAGAGGGGGATCTTACCTGAAGAGTGATGTTTGTTTGAGGCCGAACTTTGGCTGAAGGGATTTGAAGATAGGATTCTTTGTTCACAAAATTCACACTGACCAGTTTTTCACACTTCTCTCCCTGGTAGCCAGGCAAACACTGGCATATTGGCTCATTTATCTTGATGATGCACTGAGCTCCATTCTGACAATCAAAATTATCACAGGGGCTGGTTCGAGGGAGGACCATGGGTGGAGAAAACTCACAGAACAAGCCACTAAAGAGTAAAAAAAAAAATATATATATATATATATATATATATATATATATGTATATATATATGTTCATTGTTTTCTTGGGTAATTACTAATATGAATTGAGTCCTATAAGATCTAACTCAAAACATAAACTCTCTATTTCTGCTTTTACCTGTAACCTTCGGGGCAGATGCAGGTATAGCCATTCACTGCGTCGGTGCAGTGGGCTCCATTTTTACACTTGTTATCTTGACAGTCATCAAAATCAATGTCACAGTGCTCGCCTATGTATCCTGGAGTACAGTCACATCTGTTTGAACAAACAGGGAAATGGTTTTAAACCCAACTGAGGTAAAGTAAGTAAAACAGTTGCACTGCATTAAAAATACACCATTTTTACCAGACTTATTTGGAACAGACTCATAATATCAAAAAATGAATGGATGCCTAGAAAATAGCACTGGTCTTCAAAGAATTCTTGGCTTCTCACTGTAATTATCAGAATAGATGGGATTTTATCTTCCTGATGGTAGAGAGCACCCACAACCCAAATAATCACAGAATAAATGCAGCCAGGGTCTTTTTCATTTCCCTCCCACTATTGTATTTGCCTATAGAATCCTCTATTTTCAACTCTGCCAAATTCACTCAAGCCCTTGGGGTGACCAAAGTGCCAGGATAAAAATTACTGACAAGATTAATCATATTTAAACATACGATTAACATGTTTTCTTTTCCAATACTGATCAGATGCATTTAAACAAAGTATAATATTAAGAAAAGCAAATACATTAGCTTTGGAAACCCTAATTGGCAATGAACTCAGACAATTATGGCAGAATGGGATTGATCTAGGGTGTGGGGTGGGGGATTTGGTGTACAATCTGTGGGGCCAATCCCAGGAACAGCTTTCCAACCTGTTCACTGGGGTGGTGTCAAGGGTGGGAGAGCCAAGGGTGATTAAGATGCAGTCATTTCTCAGGAGCTCCCTGTGCCAGGCCCTGCTCTGAGCACTTAGCCTTGGACTCACTGAATCCCCAGCACAGCCGTGTGACATTGGTGAGTCTGTTGTTGCCAGTGTTGTAGTTGAGCCGACTTCCACTCATGGAGACCTTACGTATAACAGGAGAAAACACTGCCTGGCCCTGCGCCATTGTCGTAACTGCTGCTACGTTTCAGTCCATTGTTGTGGCTACTGTGCCAGTCAATCCCTCTCTACCTGACCAACCATAATGTTCTTTTCTACCAACTGGCCTCTCCTGAAGACACGCCCAAAATAAGTGAGCCCAAGTTTCACCATCCTCTCCATACTAAAGGTCAAGGAGCTGATGGAAAAACCAAAGACACTCATCTTCCAAGTGCCAAAGCCAGCAATCAAACCCAAGCAACTGAGAAGATGGCCTGGATTTTCTAACCACTACACGGCACTGTTAGGTAATTAAATCCTCAAGGATACTCTCATTTCACCTGTCCTTCTCCCGCGTTGACCATTTGTGTTTCCAGTTATGACACCAAAAGCTATGACTTTATAGTTGCTTAAAGGAAAACAGTATGGTACATGCAATGATTTTCAAATTATGTACCCAGGAGCTATGGGACTTCATAGAACATCTATAGGAATGGCCATAGATGGGTAGGGGACTTCTGGTAACCTCCTTCTGTCTATGTCTAGCCCCTTAACAGTCTCCCCTTGACATTTTTTGTTTTAGGTTTCCATGAATATTTTGTTTTGTTTTGCTCTAAGGAAAGATTCACTGACTTAAAAACAAAGCCAAAGAACTATGGTTTTGCTCCACAGAATTTAGGCTTTGCAATTAAGTAGAAGTAGGTTTGTATCTTGGCTTCACCATTAATTAATGAAATCTTGACTTACTTAGTTTCCTTAAGCTTTTGTTCCCTCATCTGTAACAAGTATAGTATAATAACTCCCCCTCACAGGTTTAAGATACTAAACAAAACAATGCCTACAATTAGTATAGGAGCTCTGGTAGCATAGTGCCTAAGGCACTTTACTGCTAACCAGAAGGTTGACGGTTCAAACCCACCAGCCACTCCTCGGAAGGAAGATGGGGCAATCTACTTCCATAGTGATACTGCCTCAGAAACCCAAGGAGGGGTCGCGATGAGTCGGGTCCGACCCAACGGCACATAACAACAATAACACAACATAATTAGAATAGTGTGTGACATATAATAAAACTTAAATGAATATAATTGTCTATGTTTTTATTATTCTGTGTAATCCTTTAAGGTTTAGTCTACACTAGTTCCCTCCACTCCTCGGAAGGAAGGTTGGGCATTCCTACTTCCGTAGTGATACTGCCTCGGAAACCCAAGGAGGGGTCGCTATGAGTTGGGGCCGACTCGATGGCAAATAATAACAACAACAACAGTTCCCTACATTACCATTTCAAAGCCATCAGTATATACACAAAAGAGTACAAATAAAAATCTAAATGAATGTGGACATAACTGAATGCCAAGAGCTTTGAGTGAAAATTCAAAACTAAGATTTCAGAGTTACTTCTGAAGGGCTGATGAATTAAAACAATTAGGAATGTATACCACTAAGGGTAATGGGTCCTCTGTGCATGTATGAATTAACAAACGAAACGAGCTCACTGGATAAGCACACTTGCTCTGCAGCTAGTGGTTTTAATGCTAAATCATAACCAAGCAAAGTAAACCACCCTGAAGTTAAATGGGCTCTAAGTGGTCATACACATTCTCAAATAGATGGACAAGGCTGGAGAAGAGACCATCCATCAATGCTCATGTGGCCAGAGCAGCTCAACTACCAAGCATTGAAAGAAGAAATCCTCTGAAACATTTTAAATTACTTATCTGAGAAAAGATATCAAACCAAAAGAGAAAAGAACCACAGAGTCACCGCAGTTAATGTCTGTGAGTTATTTTATGTTCTCTCCTCTACAAATTATTTTTTTTCAAGGCAATTAGAACTTGGAGTCACATTATGATCAACATTTTTATCTTTCTTTTGCTCCACAGATCAAGTTTCAAACCAGAAGGAACACATTTAAATAGGAATGCCTTAAAGTTTGTATTATCAATAAAACCCATCATGTTCCCTTGGCAATATTATCTGACAAGGTGTGAAGAAGAAAGCAAAGGATATAAAATATACTGTCTAGGAGCGCAAATGGTGACTAAGTAAGATGTATGCTCAGGAACACTGCTTACGGCATATCATGGTCTAAAAATACCTAAAAGCAATTCAGGAGATTTATGAGGTATATAATACAACAAGAAAAGCAAACCCAATCCTGTAAGCTTAGGAATAAGAAAATGAGTTTGAAGTAACAGTACAACTTGTCCAAACAACACGTGTCAGTGGAGGTTTTCTTTACCAGTTTTACATCATGTTGGTCTTTAATTCTATTTTCTTTTGACAATTCCTTTTCTCATTATGTGAGATTATTTATCATCTCTTTATGTACAAAATGGCACACATTCTATGTTTTATTGCCAGGTATTTTCATAAACTTGCTATGTCATTTTTTTTTTTTTTTTAATATAGCAACATGGAAAAAAAAAATATTGGTATAGAGCACTAAGAAAACACCTCACAAGGGGAGGGTGTAGTTGGTAAAAAAACAAAACAAAACAAAAAAAACCGTAGAATATTTGTTTGTTTAATATTTGCAAAAAAAAAAAAAATACAGTGGGTGTATAAATAGAACATATTTTCACCACCATAGTGTGTGTCTGTATGTACAGACACACAAATACACACACACACACACACACTCATGGTGGTGATAGCAATATCCATGGCTTGATCTGTTTTCTGCTAACCTAGAAAGAGTTATAAAACTGGCTCACGGGTTATGAATGAAAAACAGGGGTTCTCAATTCAGCTGATCCATATTCTAGCAAAAGCCATGTTTAAAAGTGTGAAAACTAATTGAGTAGTAAAAGAGATATTTAAGGATTAGTCATTTTGAAGATGAACACTCTTATTTTTGAATGGGTTCCACCATATCACTAATAATTTACCTTATAATACACAATGCACAAAGCACTGTGAAGGCCGTCTAGTGGATGAGCAGTTTTGGAAAAAAATTTTTTGTTGTTGTTGTTATGTGCTGTTGAGTTGGACCCGAAACAAAGAAACCCCTCCTTGGGTTTCTGAGGTGGTATCACTATGGAAGTAGATTGCCCAACCTTCCTTCCAACGAGTGCCTGGTGGGTTTGAAACACGAGGCTTCAGGTTAGCAGTCAAGTGCCTTAGGCACTACACCACCAGAGCTCCCAATTAATTATTCTGATAATATGTTTCAAGTGCTGAGGAGCAAGGATATCTCCTTGAGGACTAAGGTGCGCCTGACACAAGCCATGATATTTCCAATCGCCTGGTATGCATGTGAGAGCTGGACAATGAATAGGGAAGACCGAAGAAGAGTTGATGCTTTTGAGTTGTGGTGCTGGCGAAGAATGCTGAAAGAAAGTACCGTGGACTGCTAAAAGAACTAACAGATCTGTCCTGGAGGAAGTGCAGCCAGAATGCTCCTTGGAAGCAAGAATGGCCAGACTTCATCTCACCTATTTTGGTCATGTTGTAAGAAGGGACCATTCCCTGGAGAAGGATGTCATGCTTGGTAGGGTGGAGGGTCGACGAAAGAGGGGGAGGCCTTCAGGGAGATGGATTGACACAGTGGCTGCAATGATGGGCTCGAGTATAGCAGGGATTGTGGGGCTGGCGCGGGATCGGGCAGTGTTTCGTTCTGCTGTGCATGGGGTCGCTATGAGTCGGAAACGACTTGACAACAACAACAACATGGTAATATTTGCTATGTGAGCAATGCACTTCTAATTTGCTGAATTCAAGGGCTTGTTGTTGTTGTTACGTGCCGTCAAGTCGGACCCGACTCATAGTGACCCCTCCTTGGGCTTCTGAGGCAGTATCACTACAGAAGTAGATTGCCCCATCTTCCTTCCGAGGAGTGGCTGGTGGGTTTGAACCGTCAGCCTTCTGGTTAGCAGTCAAGTGCCTTAGGCACTACGCTACCAGAGCTCCCAATTCAAGGGCAGGTAGATCAAAAACTTTAAGAATGAAAATAATTCTGTGTAGTGTTTGGTTGCACAAACTGCAATGTAGACTTCTAGATAACATAACGATTTCAAAAAGACTTTTGGCTTTTGTGTAGGCCTTTAAACTAAAATATAATAAGAAATATATTTATTTATTTATTTATTTAAATAAAGCACTGAAGGGAATTAGAAGTTTTTGCAAAGTATCTGTAAATAAATCCCCCAAATCAAACCCACTTCTGTGGAATCGGTTCTGACTCATAGAGACCCTAGCGGACAGAGCAGAACTGCCCCAAAAGGTTTCCAAGGCTGTAAATTTAAGACTGCCTCATCTTTCTCCTTTGGAGTAGCTGGTGGGTTCGAACCACTGACTATTTGGTTAGCAGCCAAATGTTTTAATCACTTTGCTGCCAGAACTCCTGGATAGCTATAAAGCACTACAAAAACGTAAAATGGTACTTTGATGAGATGCTTTGGCCTCCTGTAGGCAGTCAAAGAACACTGGGCGAAAGACCAAATAATACTGCTAGCAAAGACCTGTCTAACTTACTAAGCACAGCTCAACTCCTGAACCCAACAGTGTCACTTGGAGAATGCCATTTTATCTTCTATATCATAGTAGCAATAATGTTAATACAACGTAGAATTTTGTAGAGGTAACATGCTGTATTAGAAAAATTGCCCACCTGCGAAGTATAAAACCCAGCTCTGGCTCTGCCAATAAATAACCATGAGCTCCCTGGACAGCTACCCAAGCCCTATGGCCCATGGTCTCTTCATGCTCAAGATGAAGAATATGGATCAGATTATCTTTAAACCACTGCTTGTTCTAAAAACAGACATCACCATTGACGGGTGCTTAAATTATCTCACGATCCTGGCAAATAAATCATTTAATTTGATATGAAGTATATCCAGGATGATTGCTGGGGAGAGAAGGAAATGATCATGAAGTTTTGAGCTCACTCCATTCTTGGCCTGACTGCAGTTTTTCTCATCCCATACAGGACGTTTTGAATGTAAAAAGGACACCATTAATAACGACACTAAAACAACAGGCATACACTGGGATGTCCTCGGCAATCGCGACATATGGTTACTTACCCCAACCCAGGTAGAATAAAGTATTGTTTCTGACAAGAAAAGGTTGTGTTGTATGACAAAGACTTGCCTTCATGAAACACAAAGTAGATATTACTAATTTAATTGGCTTTCACAGAAATTTAAATAAACGTATATTCAGTGGCTTCACAACCCAACAGTTTGCTGCACTGTGATGGCTTGCGTGCTCCTATGAGGCTGGAAGCTATGTAACAGGTACTTCAATCCCCAGCAGGGTCAACCATGGTGGACAGTGTCAGTGGAGCTTCCAGACTAAGACACACTAGGAAGAGAGACTTTGTGATCTACTTCTGAAAATTAGACAATGCAAATCTTATGAACCACCACAGAATACTGTCCAATACAGTGCTGGAAGAGCAGTCCCCTAGGTGGGAAGACACTCTGCAATAGCACTGAAACATAACAATTATCATGAAATAAGAGGGGAATCAACCTAGACTGATGACATACACCTTGCTCTGTAAGCTATCAGGTAGTACATGAAGAATAATGGCGTAGACCAGGTGATGTTTCATTCTATTCTTCATAACGTCACCAAGAGTTAGAGCCAACTCAATGGCAAAGAACAAGAACAAAGTACTCAAAAGCTATCTCAGTCCATAAAAGACTTCCTAGAAAGTGTCATGGGATATAATATATCATTCTATTTACTTTATTCTCTACAATGTACTAAAAACAAACAAACAAAAAAGTCCATGTTGTGATATGGTCACTTATAAAAATATATGTCCTTTCATCCTGTGCACAGTGTGAAGCTGGATCTTGAAAGGAAGATGGGGTTTCAAAAAGAAGAACCCGCCCCATCTCCCTGGCCATGAGCCCCAAGGTAGGCTCTACTTACTTGTATCCCTTTGGCATCAGGATGCACTTGGAGTCATGTTGGCAGGGGTTCAAGTCCTGGGCACAGAAGTCCAGCTTCTCCTCACACAACTCTCCTGTAACATTCAAATACTGTTAGTTGATTGAGAAAGATTAATAGGCTTCCTGCTAGCAGGCATACTGTATAATGGATCTTAGATGTTAGTGTAACTTGTGCTTTAAAGACAAACAGAAAAAGCCCCACAAGACCTTCAGATGGAAGATCCAATTCTGGTTCTCTGCGAATTAGTCTTATAATTCGTGAAAACATAACTACAGTATGTGTTCTATGATTAATATGAGTCCCTTCAGAGCATACTATTGGAATTAAAAGGAAATTGGAATGTTTTTCATTTCTGTTGCTTTATTTTTAACTTGAAGGATACCATGTACACAAAGGTACAATGTACAGCTTAATAAATATTTGCAAACTGAATACACTTATGTAACCAGCATCTACGTCCAGAAACACATTATTTCCAAGCATTCCACTAATCTCCTTCATAGCCCCTCCTTGTTACTAATTCCCCAAGTGTAATCACTTTAATGATAAGACCACAGATCTGCCAGGACTATTTCTGAAATTGACATAAGTGGAATCATCCCATATGTACTCTTTTATATCTAGCTTATTTTGTGGCTTTATGTTTGAAAAAGAAAGTCCTCAAATCTTCATAGTCTCTAGGGTTTTATAAGTCTAGAAGAAAAAGACTGCTTTTACGAATCACTGCAACAGCTCAACAGAAAACTTGTTACCTCTATAGAGGTAAAGAAGGCGCATCGTAAAGAAAAGGAAGGTGCATCAACCTAGACAGAGAACACACACTCTGCCTGTAAGTTACCAGGTAGCTTGTGAAGAATAATTTTACCCATAAATGAGAGCTACCAGCAGAATGCTCTAGATACTTGTTGACTTGTACATCTGTACAAGAAACATGGCTCTATTTCCAGATATATTAGGCCAAACAAGACTTTCACTGAAATGAAGACTTCCCAAAGCTTGTAAGCTATTAAGGAGATATATACAGAAAGCCTTATAGAAAATTATAAACAAAGTTCTTTCCTTTTCTACCTTACTTGTCAATTATTTTTCATTTCTTTTCTATGCAGCAAATGAACAAATGGAATGACAAATGCATGCTGTTGTTAGGTGCCATCGAGTTGGCTCTGACTCATGGTGACCTTATGTACAGAATGAAACATTGTCGGATCTTGTGGCATCCTCACAACTCTTGCTATGTGTGAGTCCGTCGCTGCGGCCGCGGCGTCAATCCTTCTCACTCTCTTCTGCTGACCATCCATTCTACCAAGGATAACACCCTTTTTCAGCAATTAGTCTCTTTTGATGACATCTCCAAAGTGAGAAGAAGTCTCACCATCCTCAGTTCTAAAGAGCATTATGGCTGTCCTTCCTCTAAGACAGATTTGTTCGTTCTTCTGGCAGTCCATGGTGTATTCAAGATTCTTCGCCAACAGCATAATTCAAGTGCATCAATTCTTCTTCTACTTTACTTTTTTTATTGTTCAGGATTCACATGCATATAAGGTGAGTGGAAATATCATAGCTTGAGTCAGGAGCACCTTTCTCCTCAAGGTGACATCTTTGCTTTTTAACATTTTACAGAGGTCCACAGCATGTCTAGTCTAGTCTTATCCAGTCTCCAAAGCCTGCTTAACAGAAAGCAAGTTGATCACTTTGTCCCTGCATTAGGATTTCAGGAATGTTCCAATTCAAATAAGTCTATTTAAAATATTCTTTTGCTTTCAGATGGATATAGTATTAGGAAAGGATGCATTTAAAATAATAAGGATATCTATTAAATTCTTCTAAAAGCTAGCTCTTTAAATTCAGGTTGGGCATGTCTGCAATACACGTAGTTGTAGATATAAGGACATGGTGCTGCTGGGACACTGAAGTGTTACCAGCTTCACTTTGGCTCGTGTAACTGGATTAGCGTCTTCGCTCTCTCTGAAATCCATGATGTCCTAGCATGCATTCTGGACAGTCTGCACGCATGAAGGGCAGGGTGCGGGTGTGACAGCCTGTTGTCTCTATTCACAAATTGTACAAACTTTCTGATTTCTTAAGGAGAAAGAAGAATTAAAATTCACAATAATGAAGGGGAAGTTTATGACAACAATCTGAATAAATGGAACAGCATTCTCGTGTTAGACTTAATCAGTTATGACATTTTCAACTCCACTTGTAACAAAGGGAGACGTCTGGTTGAATTCCTGATAGAATGACCACGAGACAGAGTTTCTGGAGGGTCAAACACATCATTCTCCAACTATTTGCAGTTTGGGGCTCTTGCATAGCTCAGGAAAAGCCTGAATAAATGGCACTATTTCACTCAACCTGAATTGGTGCAGCAAGGGTAGTGATCCAAAAAGCAAACCATTGGGTAAAATGAGTAAGACTTAATTTCTTAAAAGAAATCCTAAGGGTTTCCTGTATTTATACCTGTGTACTCCTCCATTTCCATTGTCAGTCTCTGGGTGGTAGAAATGGTTTGTTCTCAGCTACCAACCAAACAGATGGTTGTTCAAACCCACCCAGCTGCACTGCAGAAGAAAGATCTAGTGACCTGTTTCCGTAAAGACTGCAGCCCAGAAAACCCGATGGAGCATGTCTACGCTCTGTATCACATGGGGGCAGCACAAGTCGGAATCAACTTGACAGCATTTTCTCCTTTTTTTTAGTAATTCGTGTTGCATTAACTAGCCAATCGCCTGACACAAGCTAGGTATTCCATGGCTGTGGAATATGTAAAACAGCACTTCTTTGATTGCTTCTTGCAGCAAAAATACCTGCAAAATGATAAGAAAAAAGCCACAGATGGCATCAAGAACAAGGTAGGGAAGTTGAGAGAAGAAGGAAGAAAACTGGCAGCAGATCTGTGTCTGGGATCCTAGGCGGACTGGGTGGGTGGCCCATTGACCCTCAGATGTCCTGCACCCTCTCCTGATGAGTAATGACCATCCCCCACAGGAGACAGAGAGGATGAGCATGGGAGTTGAGGAGGTCTGCGTGTCAGACCTTATATGGAACGTTTGAGAAATGCTGAGATGAATAAACCTAAATGTTTTCTCATATCAAATTAAAAAATTCAGTCCAATTCTAATTAAAAAATAATTGCACCTTTCTCATTTGTTCTTTAGTCACACAAGGGAAAACATTTTCTTTTCTCTCCCAGGCCTTCCAATCTGGTAGGGGCAGTGATGAAGTTTAGTAAAGGGTGGATAAAGCCCATGGGAATACGGGAGTCATCCCATGGCAGGGTAATGGAATTGGACTTGAGAAAAATGTATTTCTATTTTCTTTTACTGGACCTATTTGTGATCTACTCTGCTCAAGGCTAGAATCCCAGGCACCAGACCACGTTAACCCAGGCTGAAGCCCAGTCTCCAATCTGAGTATTCCGTATCCTTACTGGTGGTGATGGTGATAATTGACTTTATTTCCATTGCTAACAGCCATTTCTGTTTCTTATTTTTCTGAAATTGCTGAATTTTCCTGAGGATTCCTTGGAACATTCTGATTTTGTGTGTGTGTGTGTGTGTGTTCATTTTCTTGAAATTTGTCCTATCAGTTAATTAACCTTCAAGATAAACCTAAACTTAATTAAGTCCAGTTCTCAGTATAGAAATATAGGTAACTGATCTTGAAGGATTGCAATTCTTCTTTTACCATCTCTCCTTCCCTCCAGGCCATGTGACTACGCCCTCACTGTGCCCTTCTTAACTGTGCACTCCTGTCTGTCCAGCTTTCCCTCTACTTGAATGCTGCCCCTCTGGTGGCCCATGGCCGATTGCTCTAAGGTGTGTATCTCCCTAGAGTAGGTGGCTGCATTGCTTTGGGGTAGGTGCTCTGCATGAAGGTCTTTCCACTGTTGGGCTGAGAGCCAATCCACAGGAGTGAGTCCAATTCTAGGCCCGAAGGGTAACCTGGGGCCATAGTCTTGGGGGTTCCATCAGACTCTATACAACCCATAATTCTCCTCATTTTTGTGTTTTTGGATTTTGTTCTACATTTTTCCTTCCACTCTATCCAAGATCTCCAGGTATGATCCTTTCCGAGCAGTTGACATTGGTAGCCAGGCACCATCTAGTTCTTCTGGTCTCGGGTCCATCATATCCTTGGACTGTTTCCAGATACCTTGATTTTCTCCACTCTTCTTTGCTTCAGGTGAGAGAAGACTAATAGTTGCATCTTAGATGGCCACATGGAAGCTTTTAAGACCCCAGTCACCACTCATCAAAGCAGGTTGTAGAAAAGACTTTTGTGTACTATGTTGTGCCAATTGAGCTTGGTGTCCCTTGAGAGTGGTTTAAAGGAAATTAAACCAGTTGCTGGTGAGCCAATTCCAGCTCAGGGTGACCCCATGTGTTTCAGAGGTGACCTGTGCTCCACAGGGACTTCAATGGTCTTGATCTTTTGGAAGCAGATTGCCAAGGCTTTCTTTGGAGGGACCTTTGGCTGGATTAGAAACTTTGCTCTAGTAGCCGAGCACTTAACTGTGCCATCAGCGATTCCTGTAAGGTTCCTTGTTTCTGTGTGCTGTTGCATTGATTCTAAGTCATAATGACCCTATAGGGCAGAGGAGAACTGCCTCACAGAGTTTCCTAGGATGCTACATTAGCCAGTGCCATGTCCTCTTAGTGACAAAAGTGTGGAAATTAGAATATAGTGCATAAGCAGAACACCATCACAAAGTACTCCCAGGAGGTAAAGTTAATCATCATGTAAACTACAAAGACTCAAGAAATCATGTTACAAATGCAGAGATCTGGTTTCAAGAAGTCGCAGGAAGGAAAACCATTTTCTGTTGCTCTCATTTTTGTTTTCTAAATGATACAAAATGAGTTGCTTGATAATGTTTATCTGCCAGAAAATTTGATCAGTGTTCGTATTTAGAAAGAGGTTTTCCTTCCGTACTAACTACTAAACTAACTATATTCAGCTTTTCATTCTCCTTGGGTATGACAGATGATGGCTTTGTGCTGTTGAAATAACTGACCTGAACTTGTAGTCAGGAATCACAGGTAAAAAATATGCTGGTGGACAAGGGTCATG